GATGATGTGCATCCCAGTGGGCAAGGCGCGACCAAATGTAGTCGGTTAACACCTGTATGGCTCCACTAGGTTCCAGAGGGTAGTCCCGGGCTTGATAGCCCATCGCGAAGCAACCAGTGCGTCGGATCTCGGCAAGGATGTCAGCTCGATCATCCATAAACGCTCGGATCCTAAGCCGGCTCACAAGCTCGGCTTTTCCGCCGCGTCCCGTCTTCTCATTTGTAAGGTAGAAGCCGCCGCCCATTTGGCAGCCTGACGCGCGGCACTGGTCCCTAAACGAATCTATCTCCTGTATGGTCGAGTCGTAGCGGTCGCCCGCGCCTGTGAAGGAGATAATTGTAATTCGTGCAGGAAGCGATTCAAGCTGTTTAAGGCGGTCTGTGAAAAGGTTTGTGGGTGTGTGCACCGGCGACAGCATGGTATCTAGGACTTTATGCCAGTCGAGGCCAACCTCAAAGACGCCCGCTTGAGGGGGAATTAGGGTATGTGGGTCTGCTAGCTGTTGCCCAAACAACCGGGGCAACGGGTTCGGTTGGTATCTTGTAGTAGGTTGGACACTTCGGGGCGTGTCCGAGGCAGGGCTGCCGGAGGGTGGCCTATGCGGGGCAAGCCTTCCACCGGATGGCGGCTCCTCGTGACTATCGGCGCGTGAAGCGGCCCTTGGTGCCCACCACGAATTGTCCAACACGTTAGGCGCAGCTGTCGAAGAGGCAGCTTGCGAAGCCCATGCGGTATCATGGGGCACTGACGGCACACCAGCAGGCTTACCATATGGGTATGGGTAAGGATTAGGTGGTGGTGGCTTCCTCTTAGGTGTTACAGGTCTTGGAGGAGCCAATTCTGGTTGCCGCCTTGGATCCCGTTCCCAAGAAGCTGATCTTCCAGTTAGCGAACCTGGCGGGGTTTTGTAGGGAAGCCCCGATGCGGCATGCTGGCTAGGAGGTCGATCTGGTGATCTAGGTCTTGGGGGTGTCTTAGGGGATCTTGGTGTCGATGGCTCGCCTTGGTCGTCGTCACCGTCCCCAGGTGGGGTTGGATCGGACGGAGCTGCAGCCGTGATGCCCGCGCCTACTGGTACACGAGCACCAGCTGGCAGCGGCTTGCCTGCACTGTCTGTCTCCACATGCACGGGTCTATTACGCTCCTCAAAGGCTTCGAACGCTCGCCGCTTGGCTTCGGCAGACAATTGCCTCGCCTCTGGCGGAGGTGGTTTCACCTTGGTAGGGGGAGACCTTGAGCGGACCGGGCGTGCTTTCGAGGGCGGTTTCGCCGGTGGCGGAGACGCCGACGAGGACTCGATCGATACCACCGGAGGTGGCGTGCTGTGGGACCTCGACGCTTTGGCAACAGGCGGCTGAGACACCGGGGGCGCAATTGGCGTAGCATTTGCTTGTGCTGCCTCCCGCGCCTGGGGCGGCGGCTGAGGCGGACCAGATGGCACGAACACCGTTTCAGTGGCTGTTGACAACTGGGGTTCATGTAATGGGACCCTAGGACCTGCAGCTACTGATGCACCCTTAGGCTTATTCTTAGGGACTATGATTACTTGTCGAACATGTGGGGGCGTTACAGGGGGCGCCCCTTTTAGCGCATCGGCGGTTACAACTACTCGAACTCGCTTAGATGCTGGTTCGGCCAACTTCGGCTTTGGGTGACCTGACTGACTGGTCTTAGAATTGTATGGAGGACCCTGGCACGGGTTGGTACGCGACGGGGAACACCGGAAGGGTTGGTACCCGTTGCGAACGAGGTGTCGCGCGAACGAAGGGAGCGCGATACGGCAACCTATCGAAATGCACGAAAGCAAAGTGGCACGACGCGACCGAACGAAGCGACGTGCACGAGCGCTGAAACGACCGCGGGCGCAATCGTTTCTTGAGCCATAGCGAGCGTCGGTGTGAGACGAGTCCTTGACGACCGACGTTCGAAAACACTATACATGAACCCTCCATGACACAGCAAGTTAGGGGTTACCACTGTATGTGATATTTTGACTCCCCCCTCGCCGCTTTGCGAGTCATGGGTTCACTGTACATGTATTAATTACCGCGCATTTAGCAGCGGCTTTGGCACCTACATCGGCTCCTAGCGAAAAGCTTCGATCCCTAAGGGATGGCTTTGGCTCGCGAAAAGCTTCGTTGTGTTTTTGAGAACAGCTGGTGCAACCAAACTCAGGAGGGTAAAGGATGGGGAGCCAGGCCAACTCTGCTTCTACGCTCTGCCTTCGTATTTTGGGGCACATGAATTGCCGTGTTCACTGAACGCGCACCCACCCCCCTCTCCTGACTTCTCAGGCATTCGATGCCCTGAGCAAAGCGACGTCCGGCAAAAGTCCCTTCATCAAAGCAACAAAAACGACATTATAACGCAATTAGGACCTTTCATGTCCGAGTAACTACGCACAAGCAGCCGTCACCAACTCGATATCGTTTGTTCAATGTCCGAACTAGTTATGGAAATCATTCACACTGCTTGACGGTTCTTCACACCTTCTAAACCATCGAGTATTGCCATCCCACACCAACTGTGAAATGTAACAACAGACCGCGTGCAGAAGTCTCAAATGTCGTTGATTTTGTCATCTACCCAAGGTTGCTATGGATGCCCCTCCTTCCGAACTTATTAGCGCAAACACACACATATATGCTCTTCCCCAGAAGAGATTCCATCTCACGCTCCCACCCGACCTGGCGAAATGTCTCGCACTCTGGAAATATCTCACCTGCGCTTGCAACTCATCACTCTCAAACGGGGTCCTGGCTCCTTGCTTTGGCGATGTAAAAGAATCTTTGAGATTCCTCTGTGGCCCGGCCTTCGGTGAGCCAGATAGGTAAGGCCTCCACACAAATGTGTCAATGCATCAAGGGGATTCGGGCACTGCAGCAACTGGTGCTGTACTGGCCCTGCAAGTACTTGAAGATTGCATTCATGTCTCAAACACTTTGTTTGACTGCTTGTCATGGAGCCAAGTTTGGTTCATATTTCATCCACCAGGTCTCTTCTCTAGATCAAAGGACTACTGAAGTTAGCTTCACCCAAAGCTTCATCCTGTACATATATAAATCTTGGCAATCCAAATGTCCCTTTGGTTCCTTTGCAGATATACTTTCAGTACCGTTTACAAGAAGTCCATATCTTGTGTTGCCTCGAGGTCCGAGGAGTGCAGGTTGATTTAAGATCTTTTAGCACAAAGACACGCGTGGTGTGTCTTTAATGGAGCTATGCATCTTGAACAATGGAAAAGTACAGCCAGAACGCTTTGCCGTCCCAACACAGGGATGAAGCATAGGTTCCTTAAAGATGGGATATCCTCTGCAGGTGGCAGCCACCAAGGCTTCTTGCTTACAGTGTCGGTGATCCGGAGGTGAAGTCGTGCTGGGCCGGAAGTGTGTTGAGTGTACCGCAACTGTCAGTTGCTGCTGGACGGACTCAGACGAGGTTTGGCATGGATGAGTGGCCCGATGTTCAGGCTTCACTTCTGTGCGCAGGTGTAGCATCTCTTTTTTTGAGGCGGGCGTCCCATTGGGATTGGTCGCTTGAGAGCGTGCCTAACAGCCTTGTGTTCATGACACATTTAAGTAAAGACATAGTGGCTTTTGCTGATGCACATGAGGTTGAACACTGTGCACATTTTGCTACAAACACGAAGGTGTGGCACGGTGACTCTTCATGTACTTTGTGCGTGTTGGAAGTGTTTGGCAAAAGGTGTCGCAAGGCAAAGTACATTTCAAGCACTGGTGAAGTGGTGCGTTCTCAGAAGTGTAAGTGGTGTGCTTTTGCCACTGGTGACATGGTAGATGCTTCGGGTTCATGGGTTAAATACGGTTCCACAAAGCAGCTGTTGGACTTAAGACAAAGCAGCTTCTGTACAAAATGTCTCCCAAGTAAAGGCAAACACATTGTGTTTATACACAGTTGCCATTTACCCCGTTGATCACATGCCCCAGCATGAAAAACTAGCATGATTGCTCGAAGAAGAGTTCTCGTACCAAGAGACGTATTCCGTTCAAGAAGCACTTCATGGTAAAAACCTTCCTTTTATCTTCGCAACCTTGTCCGAGCTCTGCACTTTTGGGTCAAAATGAAGATTGTGAGTGTGCGCCTGGCTTTGTACCGACCTCCATTCACTTACGCAACCCAGTTGTTTTGTTTGTCATGGTTCAGGTGACGGGCAAAGCCATCCCAGCACCAGAAGTCTCCGCTCCTCCAATACCCTACCTCTTCTTAGCGATTATCTATTGGATTTGCGCCAACAACGTAAAAGTGCTTTGGGTACGGTATGAATCATGAGGAGGTATCATCCATTCTCTTCCTCGTCCTGTTCACCAGTCCTGGCCTCCTCGCATTCACCAGGTCTCGCCTTGTGCGTTTGTCACATGTCGCATGAAGCAAATGAGGCTAGCAGAATGAAAAGTCGGAATTTGCAAAACTGCTTCTACCCAGCTCTCTCCTTCCAAACTTGCAAACAACTGGTTTGAAAAGGTTGTCCTAGAGTCACGGCCCCCACCAGCATTGGTCTTCCTACAAAGAATCAGTCAAACTCTGATTAT